TAAGTTATTTTAAATAGAATTAAGTTACTTTAAATATAGGCAGAATTAAGTTATTTTAAATACAATTAAGCTATTTTAAGATATTGAAACAGAGCTTCCTCTCTCCTATTTGTCTTATTTTGCTGTGTCCTACAGGGTCCATAATTGATCTCACACAAATTGTTACCACCTTTAAATGTACTTATGGAAAAGCAATAAAAATATTGAGTATTGAATATTGTGTATTAAAAAATTGTATGCTATCGTCATACACAAAACAAAATAAATTACCAAAATTTGATACACAATACTCACAAAAGATTTATTTTCTCTTATAAAATTGAGACAAAAATACGATCTACTCTAGTTAAATATAAGTCACTAACAGTTGTAGTTCTTTCTCAAGCTTTAATTATTTAAATGTGGATGCCCAGTATTCAAGTTTCTTCACAAAAATATTCTATTGTACACAAGTCTCACCAATGTTTGTATAGACGTTACGAAATAATTTAGAAAATTAATGGGATGCGCTTCTGTTCTGTTTCACAAGACCTTAACCTTGGAGGTCGGTTATGCAAAATGTATGTATATTTGTATAGCCACGTGAACATTAGTTCTATTTTGATTTTCACATTCTTGTGCAATATAGTGAAATAATATTTATGTTTATTAAAATTATTTTATTTTGGCATTGGCGTATTTTCATTTCGCGTTCCTGATTTTTGTCACCATTTGACTTCAACTTTTAGATCTGACGAGAATATAAGTTTGAAAGTTTTCTTATAGTACACCTTCAATTCGTCAAATAACAAAACCAAGATCTTATTAAAACATTAGCTATTTTATAAGCAAAAAACATATCAAATCTTAAGTAGACAGTTCTAGAAACATCGAAGACTAGACAAGTGACTTCTCATTAACCTCTCAGTAACAAGTGAAGTTCAAAAGTCATATTAAGTAACGTTATATCACTGAACTTGTATAAAAACTTTCGACAATCATCACGCATATACCTAATAATGTAACAAGCATAATGTTATCTGTCTAATCTCAAAAACATGGAGTAAGCTTTCGCTTTCATGGAGGCTTTGAGCTCTAACAAATAGTGGTTAGATGACGTCAGACCGTGTACTCCGATGGTAATCTTATGATAATCCGTATATTTGTTTGTATATTTATTTGTCTCAAATATTGATTTAATGAAATCATGATTTGAATAAAGAAGGATAATTGTATAGGTAGAGATTGGTTTGTTGTTGAAAATTATCAAATCGTGGTTAGATGACGTCGGATTGAGTAATTCGATGGTAATGTTACGAAAATCCGTATATTTGTTTTAAATTTCGATTTAGTGAAATTTTGGTTTGAATAAAGGAGGGTGGTTGTACAGGTAGCGATTGGTATTGCTGTTGAAAATATTAAATCATCTCAGTCCCTTGAAAATATTAAATTCATAAAGACAAAAAAATAACTAAGTAGAGTTTTAATGTACTTATAAGAAGATATTTTTGTTAAAACTAAGAGAACTTCAGGGATAACCACAAATAAAAAAATGCCTCATCATTGTATTTCTATGCCTCATAACTTTATTTCGTTTCTATAGGAGTATGCGTTACATGGAATACATCACTTTTATTCTTTGTTTGAAGGTGAAGCCGTGAGTGATTGCTAGTTAAGCTTTAATAACAGTTATGAAGTAGAACATTGGTTTGTTATTAATGGTCGCGGATTTATACTGTGTTTGGTATATTTAAATTGTTTTTTTCTTAGTCATGCGTTGAATGATAATGCTTTCGTTTTTTAAGGCGTAGTGTGATTTATTTATTTTGCATTCTTATTATTTTTAGTACTATTAGTATGTATATATTATTGCAACGTAATATTAATTTGCAATTTTCTTTTCTATCAAAGACTATTATTCGTTACAATCACAGTTGTTATAACATACTTTATAAAAAAAACAATCAGCCGAACATAGTACCTCCTCCTTTTTTTAAAGTCGGTAAAAATTCAAATTTATACTGTGAATGGTAAAAAGTATCTTCCGGAGTCATTCCGGAGGTTAAGTAACCTAGTATCAATTTAAGACTTAAACGAAAGAAAACCTACCTATATTAGTTTATAAAAAATGTCTGCCTGTTAATTTTGTTCTCACGCGTCGAAATAGAAGGAAGTTTTTACAAGTCTTCAAACAAATGAGAGATTATGAATATGAAGTTAGCAAAATAAGTACCTACGTAAGGATTGTGGTAAATAATTTATAAAATATGTTTATGCCTTCTCCTGTTTAATCTACGATACAATTATAAATATTATTTTTATGTGTTTTTTCAGATTATTTCCTAGTAATTGGTCAATGCACCATATGGTCAATAAAAGAGACCAAGAAGTTTTTCATATTTATGTTAAAGGATTTCCCTTTAAGTATGTATGCCATATTCAAATATATCCGACACAAAACGAATAATAGCTATGTAATACAACTACAAGTCTGTAGATATGTACATGTCGAGTACATATTAAGCCTTGGCCTTTCTGATCCTTATAAGTACTACAAGAGAATAAGAGCACTTTCGATTTCCCAGGGTTCAGCGACCGCCTACAATAGCCTACCTTTTAGGAAGATGCTAACGGTACCTACGAGCAACACGCTGATCTTGTTATTGATGAGGCTGCGCACACGCACGTGCCGGTTTCACCTGCTTATAAATTAGCTCATGTCGGGCTCAGGTTTATTTTTAAGTCTTTAGTCTTTTGTTGATTTAAGTTTATTTTGGTATGTTTTGTTTCTAGTCTTTTTGCTTTTGTAGATTATAATGTATTTTTTGTTATTTATTTGTTTTTGAGTCTCATTGTAATGTGTGTAAATTAGTTCTCAGCCAGGGTGGGACGAAAGGGGCTATCAGACTTGTTGTTTAAGAACACCCCCCCATCCCCCTGATCCCGGGCGGTGCTTTACTGCGCTTATCTTGCAACCATTAGTAATTAATAATATAGGTTAGAATTACAGCTTCAATAGTGATATACTAATAATAAGATAATGGTACGGATCTTATAGATAAATACTTCATAAAACCTTTATGTATGTCAGAAAGCTAGAAGCAGAGTCAAAAATTACAAGTCTCAACAGTCGTACTTATAACCATTGGAAAAACAACGGCACAATTACAAAAACAAAATCAATAAACACATTTATGGTATTTATTTTAGAGCTCATTTTAAATTTAAACGTTTTTTTGCAATAACCAATAGCTATGTGGAATCACTTACGGGCAATTTACAGTTTTATTGCGCGGGAGTTGGCTACACGAGTGCACCTAATTACATCATTGGGATTAAGTTGAGTTCCACTGAATTAAGTGACACATTCAATGATATACGACCATATGGATTCCATAGTTACCGTTAACTGGATATAACCAGTTAGTAATAATGCCTTAAAAAGGTAAAAAAGGGCTAGTTAAAATTAATATTGAACCGCAGATTAATGGTGAAATATTGGTCTTTGAATGATGCAAGTTTGATTCTTGTTGCGTTTTTTTTGTGTTCAAGGTTCTTTAGGATTAATACTTCTTAATGTTGTGGTTATTTTTTTAATTGGGCATGATATTTGTTTTTTTTACAAAAAGGTCTGCAATGATTTTTATAGTATACGTAATTTAAGCTAAGGTGGTACAGATGATGTAACATCCCGCCTGTGTAATTGTAGCGTAACCTTGATGGGGTACGCACAGGTAGTTTTTAACGTAATTTTCAACAATTATGTAATGATTTAGAAAATTATTCAAATTCCGAAGAAATACCAAAATTTGTATATTCTTTAGGGCCAGATCTTTTAATTTGAAATTGTTCTAGCTGCAGAATGACATTTTTTTATTAGCAATAGGTGCGGTGCGCAGAAATAGCAACAAGCGGTACAGAACACAGAATAAGTCATCCGAAAAATATAAAAAAATAAATGTTTTTTTTTATTTTTCTTATGTTAGGATTTTAAAGATATTTGCGAAACCCTTTTTTGTGTGAGATGGTACATACTGATTGGAACTCCTTTAAGATTAGATGAAACAATCGAAATATTGGCAATATTGCCTAACATGAAAAAATATGATGAAAATTTTTAATTAGATATGATTATACAAATGAGCGTAACATCATTACTAATTTTATTGTTAATTAATACGACTCCTCGCTTTGTTAATCTGATTATGTTAATATATGTTTACTTAATTAACTTTAAAAAACAATATGTTCAGAAATTCTATAAAAGAGGTCAAATATGTAAAAATGTGCGGACAAATTATTTGCATTTATTTAAAAGCAAAGTATAAAAATACAATTTTAATAATGTAACTGTTATACGCAACCTTGAATACAAATAAAACCGTTACATAGTAGAGTATTACCGTGTCAAGAATAAGACAATCATCAATTTAGCAAAAAATGTGGACTGGTTATGGCTGTAGGTCAGAAAATATATGTATTGACACTTTCTTTATTTATTGACTAACTTTACTTTTAATATAATTTATTATGGTAACGATATAAACGCTAAACTCATAAACGTGCACATAGCTGTGCCAATACGGTGTTGGAACAGACGTGACCTATTTTTAGAGATACTAAGTACTTTAAATTGTTCTACACTACAAATATACAACTCCTTTACCTATAAATATTTTCAATCATTGTTTTTCTTGTTTCTTTTCGCAAACTCATTAAAATTCGATCAAAGCTCTACAAATACGCGCTACGCCATTGTTCGTAGCTGGCTCGTAGCCGCTACGATCTACTTCCCTGCAAAAGACTTCAACGACTTTGAGCTGAAGAAATTATTACATTATTTTCCTTTAATTATTTAAATAATAATATATTTTAATTTAAAAGTATACGCAACATGGAATATTTTTTTTAAGTTAAATAAAATACTCAATTATTGTTTTATAATAAATATAAAATAAATAATTGAACATTGAAAATAAAATTCAAATTCAGGAATAAAAATTACAAAATGAAGAAATTACCTTGATATCATCATCGTTCACTCCTCACTGTCCAATTATAAGTCCGACACTATATCACTGATAGCATTAGGCACAAAGACTTGCACTAAGTCCAGTTTAAGTTATGTACATAACTATAAACTTTTGGGGGTTGAAATATTAAATATTTATTGTTTGGTGCGCGTGCTTGCGTTGGTGCGGCGTGGTTGGCACTGGAGTCGCGTTCAATCGCCGCAGCGTCGAAGCCTGTCGACAGATGAAAGTCGCTCGAGATTCGTGACGCGCCCTCGACATCAGAAGGACGCTGCTTCACTAACACTTCTGATAGTATATACACTAAATATAAACCAGACTTCACGGTGGATCTGTGCTCATTTGACAGATTCGAATTCTATACCGGATCAAATTGTAAGGCCTAATTGTTAATTAGGTCGTCTGAATTGAATTTAATGTTTAAGTGTGAATAATTCAATTTAAATAACATCATGATGATATAAACAGCAAGTTTTTGTCAGGGATTAAGGAAGTAGTAAAAGTAGTTACAGTTTTTGTTACATTATTAGGCATTTTGCAAAAAAATATTATAAGTTTTCTGACTTTAGTGATATTTCTTCTAGTTCACTTAACATTTATATACCATATATTATTTACAATCAACGCAGCTACGCTAATTTGATCACAATGTACAGTTAAATAAATATTAATTTAGGCTATGTAGTGTATTTAGCGATAATATGATTAACACATTACCACTAATACCATATTGATTTAAGGTACATACATACGGTTTTTGTTAAAAAATTGTTCTAAAAGTAGATGCAGTAAAATTTACATATTTGCTGATAAAATTAAGCTATCCTGTCTAGGTTATATTAGATTTTTTTTCCTCTTAATTTATAGGACTTAATATAAGGTCATTGTAACTTTTCATAGTTAAGAGTAAGGTAACATAATGCATACATATATCACTCAGTCTGTTTTTTTTGAGTGGTGAAAATTATCAAGTTTATTTTTGCGCCCTGGGTGGGGCAAGAATGAGCGTCAGTTTCTTACTGAGCTCAACTACCCCGTTCCTTCTCCTGCTCCGGTCCGGGGCCTCGGTGCATCATTGCGCTAGATCCACAATCGCGGAGCTGCATATATTGGCCATTCACTCCTTTTTAAAGCGTAAGGCTTGGTGTTATGCTAGGACAAAACGAAAGTGAAACTATTATAATCTTATTGTTATTTAAATTTTGATCTACAACAATAACCGCCCTCGTGGTTTAAAATGCGAACTGCTCAATAAATACCGATTAATACAATTGCCAAGCTGATATATCTAATGTCGTCAATCATTTTACGTTGCTTCATTTTGAAAAGAGAATGCAAAAAATGCATCTTGAATAAAAAAAAATGGTTTATGCTAAATACAGCACTAATAATTATATATTTAAGTCCAAATTGTATTGTGTAAATGTTATTAAATTTTTGAGAAGGTATCTAGACAAGTTAGTTCTTTTCTTGGTATTTTGATTTTTGAAGGAGTGTCAGTTCTTTGGCAATCAAACCAACGTGATTAAAAATTTGAGATTAAGAACATATGTACAGTCAGGGGTCAAAAAAGCAATTACACTCTACCAATTGTAAAATGACTAAAATTTCTTTGTAGTAAAAGTTCAATGGTTCACAGCAAGTTTATTCATTAATTTAGATCCTCAACCATTGACTCTATTATACAAAGATATTTTGGTCATTTTAAAATTGGTAGAGTGCAATTGCATTTTTGACCCCTGACTGTACGTACATGTATTTAAGTATTTCGAAATTCTTTTGAAAATCGAATTCTCGCAATAAACTTTAATAGTTGTGTGTGTGTGTATGTGTGTTTGTGTGAGTGGGACAGTACACTCTATTGATTAATTAATTTATTGCTTTTGATCTGTCATCAATCAAATAATTTTTATAACGAAACATTTCAAATTTAAACATCGAATGAGAATTGTTAATTATGATTCATGGCAAATAATATTGAATTCTAGGCGAAAGAAGTCGGGACTTTTTAGGGTTTTTACTAACATGATTCGGGGAAGTAATCAGAAAAGTAATATAATTACAGATTTACAATATGCCTGAAAGTTAATTATCATTATATAATAAAAATATTTGGATCTGGTATGAAAATAGTACAAAGATTTTTAGGAATTTGGGACGAAATAGACAAGTTTATCTGCTTTCCCCTCGTACTGCGGGCAAAGCCCCTGGCAGAAGCCACTTGTGCTATAAATGTGTGTTGTAACGTCCTGTAGTATATCAAGTAAGAGCCTAAGATTTCTTAAAGGAAAGCTTTATTAAAATATTCCTTATCACGGATAAGAAATAATCATTCATTGAGCACATTATTTGTGTCTGAAGTTATTAGGGTAACTACCGTAAGTTCGGGTTACTTTGACCCTTTTTTTTTGTCAGGGTAAAATCATTCAATGACTTCTCCCGCCCCGGGCCGGGCGGGAGGGAGTTTCAGACTCCTACTAACTAAAAACCCCCGTTCCTTCTCCTGCTCTGGGCCGAGGTCGCGGTGCCTCATTGCGCTTACCCCGCAACCCCGGCTGAACATCAGCCCTATTGGGCCCCGTCTGTGGTGATCTATTGGCTCTTTGACGCGCGCGCGGAATGCTACGCGCCGTACGCTCGGGTCTGGTTCTGGGTTCTGAGGACACGGCGGTGCTCAGCCCAACCAGGGCACTCCGCTATCGTATGCTCCACCGTGTCCTCTAGGTGGTCCTCACAATGACGACACTCGGTGGTTTCCTCCCGCTGGATTCGAAACAGGAACCTACCGAAGCTGCCGTGCCCGGTAAGCACCTGCGCCAGGCGGAAGGTGAGGACGCCGTGGCGTCTCTCAAGCCACCCCTCAAAGAGGGGTCTTACCGCTGCTATAGTAGCGTGCCCAGGGTCACTTAATTAATTTAATTTTCGAACCAATGAAAAACGAATATATGTTTGGTTCTCAGTTATTATTGGTTAAAGGGCTTGGATCAAAGTTACCCCGCAGGGTCAAAGTAACCCGAACTTACTCGGTACTTATAAGTGGTAGGTTAATACAAATATTAGGTTATTTTTAATTTAGTGAATACGGTAGTGAAAGACAATGAGTTTTGTTAGAAGTTTTAACGTGTTTAAAGTATAAAAACTTTCGTGAATAACTAAGTTAATTCATTTAGGCTTTCTAAATTCCTTTTAGAAAATGTACTTAAATAAGTTTTTAGGCCTTAATATTTTACGATTAAGTACTAAGTTTCATTGAACTTTTTGTAAATAGTTTTCAAAATTATTGACTTAATAGTATAAAAGCTTTTCATATGGATCACGCGTTTGCAGAATACAGTTCAATCTTCGAGTAATAAAAAAAACTCAAAAGGCAAAACAGAAAAAAAGTATAAAATCCTTCTTTGTTCTTTTTTAAAAGTAATAGATACTTACTGTGTCTAAGTATCAAATACTCTACAAATTCTTTGTTTCAAAAATGTTATTGTATACTCATTCGTATTAAATATCATAAAAGTTTCTTTTTCTTTTTCACAGTATGTCTAATAATATATATTGTGTCTATCTCAGAACAAAATTAAAAAACAAAGTCAGGGGCTCGATTTAAATAAGTTTTCTTTTCAGGTAGAAACATGGTTATTTTTTCTCCGATATCCTTAAAAGATCTGAATTTGCTTGAGGAAAGATATTGCTATCAAAACAATATACGAAATAAATTCTAGAAAGATTCAAAACTAGATACATTATTAGATTATATGTTACCCACTTATATGAATTTTACAAAACCGTCCAGATACAATCGCTCTCAGGACGTTGCGATGTTGATTCATGTCAAATGTTGGAAAACGTGACTTTAACTTGTTATTTAGACAATGCAGGTACAAGATTAGCCACGTTTTAGATATGACAACATAATGCTAAATCATATCAGCTTGAGTCGAAATATCCCGGAGCTGCTGGAGCTTCAGTCAGGGCCTACAGTAAATCGGCCATGGTTTGGTAAGTGTTTTTAGACGGTAAGAATCTGACATTCCCTTCGTGTCCTTTACGTCTCGCCCAGGGATTTTCGGTATCCACTCTTCAAAAATAAGAAATTAAACCAAATAATACCGTGGCGTCCCTGAGTACGGGTATTATTATGGACGTTATACATATTAAAAATATCTATTAACCCCAATTATTATGATGGTAGACTCGAAAATACAGCCGGGTTGAGAGACAAGCGCAATAAGATACAGCGGCTTTAGCGTTAAACAGGAGAAAGGACGGGTAGTTTTAGTCTTTTTTTTAAAAAAAGGTTGCCACACACTATGATTTTCTCCTGTGTCGAGGGTGCGTTCACAAACATACACATGGCACACAGACCCGGAACCATAACTTGTAGATCACGTTATGAGTCAGACACTCCCTTTTGCATCACCCTAGGCCAGAAAAGTCGTTTGATGATATTCCCACCTCAAAAAAGGCCCGTGAATAGAAATAAGCCGCCTTGTTTAGTGACCGTATTGGCAACCACTTGATTAACGACAGAGTCTTAAGTAGAACTAATCTACGCAACCTATAATCTATAATATAAAAATGAATAGCATAATGTGTTGGTAAGCGCGTAACTCAAAAACGCCCGTACCAATTTTGTTATTGCCAGGAGAACATTTTAATGTAATATAAAAGTAAAGGGAAAACTCTTGAAATCGCAACCGAGTGAAACAGGGGCGATTGGCTAGTATTATAATAAAGTACAGTCAACTACAGCACGTCTACTATCGAGCATATTTCATGTGTCACACACCTACAGTCTATATTTTGAAACCGCAGCTATTGCGGTTATCTTAACGAGTATCTGCCTGCCCAAAAGGGATTTATGGTTGTGATTGTACGACCTACATGTTCGGTACTAATAGTACTTATGCCATATGTTATTACCATCATATGAGCAATCACTGATAGGAATGCAATGAGCGTTTTATTTGTTTGATAAAATGTGTGTTCATATATACAAAGGTATACTTACACAAAGTTTTCAGTATTTTCGCTTCATTCAAATTTTTTAAAAAGATAATTAAGATTTTATTTTAAATAGTTTTCATCATGCCATAGATAACAACTGTCTTTCTGTCATACGGACGAACAATTCTGCCCTTCAATGCAATTGTAACGTATATTTATGACCTGTATATAAAGATAGACGTGAAAATACACTTAATAAGTATTCAAACAATCAAAAACAGTATACTAAAGTT